TTCCTTCCTTCCTTTGCTTCCTTCCTCCCTTCCTTCCTTCCTTCCTCTGCTCCCTCCCTCCCTCCCTTCCTTCCTTCCTTCCTTGCTTCCTTCCTTCCTTCCTATCTTTTGAGAGAGAGCTCGCACAAGTCGGGGAGGGGCAGGGAGAGAGGGAGAGAGAATCTCAAGCAGGCTCCGCACTGTCGGCGCAGAAGCTGATGTGGGGCTCAGTCTCACTAACCGTGATATCCTGACCTGAGCCCAAATTAGAGTCAGTTGCTTAACCAAGTGAGCCACCCAGGTGCCCCTCCATCCTTGCTTCTAACCCAGTAAAAGCTGGTTAACTAGTACCCTCAGTTAGTAATGCTTTTATGTTCTGTTATCAACAGACTAGGCAAACCATAATGGGGAAAAAGTCTATTATCATCGATTTTACTAAAATTTTACAAAACTACCAAGTCATGCGTAGAGTCAGCCCAGTTTTCTACATTTCCCGTATTTGAGGTTGTTCCAAATAATGATCCTATAGTCCTCTGCAGTCCTAAGTCATGAAAAAAAAATGGATTGAATTGTCATGGCACAGAAGTTGATAAACTCTTGAAAGAAGACTTTCAAGAACAGAGGTTTTTCTAAAGCAAAAAATAGAATGCATGAATTCTTTGACTAGTAACTAAGGTAACCACAAAAGTAAATTAACCAGAACATCTTACCTCGAGCATTCTGGAAACTTTTGAACTCCTCTTTATGTTATTCTGCCTTTCTTAATTGCTGTGGCATCCCAAATGACGTGAATGTGTCTGTTTTCTCACATAAATGTTATAGCTGTGTGTGAACTACACAGTTTCTGCTGTGCAAGTCAGGATTTCCTAATAAACCATTGTTTCAACTTCTGAAAAATCATGCTGGATTAAAACATCACTTTGCTGTGAAGTGGGTGTGTTAAAGGGACATGAGCCATCTCTTGCTAAAGGAACCATTATTTCTAAATGCATATTGGTTTTTATTTAATCTTCAACTAGATCAAGAATGTATGGAGCTATTGATCTTTTGCCTGTCTTATCATTCAGTTTCTTCTTCTTCTTCTTCTTCTTCTTCTTCTTCTTCTTTTTGTTCTTCTTCTTCTTCTACCTTCCTTGGCATTATTGAAATGTAACTGTAGATGGACTTGTCTGTTTTAGGGTGATGTGGTTTACATAACTTTACAACAATTCCTGTGGTTGTATCTTGCAGCGATACTGAGCGTGGGCAGCAGCGCGGGTTACATTAGAAGTGAGAGTGAGCTGAGCGAGAGCAGTACCAGACGCTGGGGAAGGGCAGGGTCTGAGAAAACGTCCTGACTGCAGGGACCTGTCCTGGGAGAGCAGCCTCCAGCACTAGATGGAGTGGAAGCTTCCAGATTGGCAGGTAGCATCTAGCACGAAGGAATCTAGCAAGCAAAGAGGAAGGTAGAAGATCTGCCTCCGACTCAGGTTAGACTCCATAGTTTATAGAACAGAGTAAGAGTTTCTCCGAGGTGCTAGGAGGCTGTCTGTGTGGCACAAGAGATGCATTTTGTCTGATTTCTAGTTTCCAAGTAGCTGAACCGAATGCCACTTGAAGGTGTGATTAAAACCATAGCTTTAACCATGAGCTGATCTAGGCTTTATAGGGCCTGATGCTTATATAATTTTAAGGGCTCTATTTAAAGGAAAGACAGAATTATGAATACCAGCTGCCAGATTCCTTCCCCACGCCTTGGAAGGGACCTTCCAGCAGAGGCTCCAGGGGTTGAGCTGCCGAGAAATGTGCCATGGGTCCAACTGTACGGCTCCTGGGCCTGACCTCTGTCCTTGCTTTTGCTTCTGTATCACAAGTGATTAGTCTGATTTTGGTCCTTCTCCGTGTGACGACGCCCCTGTTGTAGGGTATTTGTCCCTTTGCTGACCTGCAGAGCCGGCTTCTGCCCTCTGTCTCTGCGGTGGCTAAAACAGGCCGAGAGGAGGCCAAGAGGGTGCTCTGCAAGCACATGGGTAAGCCGCTCTGGGACTTCAGCGGAGCAGGGAGACCAGGGAGGAGAGGGGCTGGGTTGGTTGTGGCGGATGCGAAGAGGGAAGTGGAACATGTAGCATCAACACTGAGGACTGGGCATGGGGGTGAGTGTGCAACAGTTGTTGATGTGGGCCCGTGTGTTCACATTGGTTGAAAACACAGCAGGTGGTAAAATTAAGTTAAATACAAAAAGCCTCCAATTACTTCTACTCCCTCATTATGTTCCTGGGATTCAGGAAAAGCAATTGGCAAATAACCTTCCTGTGCCAACAACCATCAGATGTTCTTAGAGTCCAAATTGTGAATCAAAATATGTGTCAGAACGGACACCCTGTGTGCTGGCCGTCTGCAGCGTCAGAGCCTTTCAGCCCCAGAGCCCAGCTAACAGCCTACCCAGGTGAGGGGGTGAAGCATGCAGGCTGCAGGCAGACTTCCCCGGCTCCGTCCCTGCTCTGCCCCGTAGCAGCTGGGCGCCCGAGAGGAGCTCGCTTGTGCTTGTGTCCCCTAGTGACCCCTCTGTGCAGTGGAGACGCCCACAGAAAGTGCTGCGTAGGATTCTAGTGAGGACTGGGTTGTTATTTATAGGACACAGTCTGGAATGCGCCTGGCAGGTACACGTAAGTGGTGTCTAAGTATTTCACAAATAAATGTTTTCTGAAATTCTTCCTGGTTCTGAGATTATCCACTTCTGAACAGCAGTCTGTTCTGCCCAGTCTGCAGCATTGATTCACTTTGCCTTTAGATGATTCTGAGTTAAAACAAACAATTTTAAGAACACTGTGTGTATCAGAGGAGCTTCTCAAAGGACAAAGGACAGCTCGGTGTGGGCTCATGCTTCCACCCAGACCATTCAGTTTTCTGTCATGAAGCAGCAGCCTGTGCTGGTTCCCTTAGGAGAATGCTCCAGAGGCAGGGCGTTCACGCGGGACGCTGCCCCGGCACCTGGCGTAGACTTCCATTCCCTCCGTGTCCCAGCTGGGGTGTGACCGCTGCTGCTCCCGTGGGCAGTCTGTGCCCTCCGTTAATCCTTCCTGATCTCACTCGGCTTTTCCTGAAGTGTGAAGCTTTTCTAGCCTTTTGCTCTTTAAGCCTCTGTGTCACAAAGTGAAATCCTGTGGATTCACAAGTCTGGAAGTTAAAGAACTTGGGAATTCCCGAGAAGGTGTGCTTTTTTTTTTTTTTAATTTTTTTTTTTTTCAACGTTTATTTATTTTTGGGACAGAGAGAGACAGAGCATGAACGGGGGAGGGGCAGAGAGAGAGGGAGACACAGAATCGGAAACAGGCTCCAGGCTCTGAGCCATCAGCCCAGAGCCCGACGCGGGGCTCGAACTCCCGGACCGCGAGATCGTGACCTGGCTGAAGTCGGACGCTTAACCGACTGCGCCACCCAGGCGCCCTGAAGGTGTGCTTTTTTATTGCTTGGTTTCAACTGCAGTTCAGTTCATTAGGAGTTAAAAGGAGGAAAACAGTGACTGTCCGTGGTTCACGTCTCCAGGATGTGTAGCTTCGGAAGAATCGCTACTGTTTCAGGATTCCAGATGTCAGTAGTCCTGTGGTATTAGTTTATAAATTATTCCTTCACATGCACTCTTAGGTCAACTTAAACTTCCCGGAAACACCTAAGAACGTTTTGTGCTTGGCTCAAATAATTTTTATTGGCATATTTACTTATGACCTCACACCCCTAAGTGTGTTTAATTTCACATACGTTATTGTAACATGCCCAGGCTGAGAATACTCCCCACGGCAAAGGCAGTGGTCCACAGCCCCAGTGATTTCTGTGATAAGAGAAAACAGACTTCCTGTAAGAGTTAATAGTGACAACAGCGATAATAAAATAATGATAAGAGCTTTTATGGAGCGTTTAATGTGTGCCCAAGGCCAAGCTAAGCAGTTCTTCGTCATGCTTTACCCATGTAATATTGAGACTGGACGCACTATGAGCTATTATTTGCATTTTAAAGATAATTTTTAACCAAAGTATTTCATAATGAGATCGTATTTGTAAATACTGCACACGCTGCATCATGATCTGCATTTTAGTGGCGGATCATGTGGGTATACATCTGTGCATGTCGGCTTCTCAGGATCTGATAGTTGCGTAATGCTCCATTAGTTGGCCTTTTACCTTTTCCATCACACGTGCTTAAAAGCATGAAGAATACACACATGTAACATAAATTTGTTTATTCAAATGGATATAAATCTGGCTATAGATATGGATGTACAGGCAGATATTGGTAAAAATAGTTTATACTCCATTGCATCCCAGAAAGTATCTGGGTTAGCAGTAAGCCGAACAAAGTACGAAACACAGCTTAAAAGGAGTTATTATTTAGTTACTTCATTTTAAGACGCATCCTTTTGTAAATAAATAATTTCATGAAGTTGGTTAATGAATAAGTTTCAGATAGTGCTGTTCTTATAAAAGCTGCAGAATGTCCATTAAAATAATTAGATGTCACGTGCACACACATACTACATACACCACTTAACAAATGCATATAATCTATTTGGTTAATAGGTAATACTGGGACTTTGTCACAAAAATGTAAATTGTGAAATTCACGTTTACCCTCAGTGTTATAGAGGAACACTTGCTTGCTCAGTTCAATCATTATGGGTATAAAATGATCAAGTAAAGCAAGACTTTGCTTCATAAATTTTTTAAGCATGTAGAGGCTTCAATTTTATTTTATTTTAAAAAAAATTTTTTTTTCAACGTTTATTTATTTTTGGGACAGAGAGAGACAGAGCACGAACGGGGGAGGGGCAGAGAGAGAGGGAGACACAGAATCGGAAACAGGCTCCAGGCTCTGAGCCATCAGCCCAGAGCCTGACGCGGGGCTCGAACTCACAGACCGTGAGATCGTGACCTGGCTGAAGTCGGACGCTTAACCGACTGCGCCACCCAGGCACCCCAGAGGCTTCAATTTTAATTGAATAGAGTGGTTTCGAGTGTTGTTTTTCAAATTAGTGAAAACGTGTTTAACCAAGATGCAGAGGAAGTGATTTAACAGAGCAAAACCCAGAAACTCCATTTGGCATTTTCAGGGGAAATGCAGATTTCAGGAGGAAATAAATGCATTGCAAAAAAAGAAAAAGAACAAAGAAGAAATAATTTTTATTCCTGAAAAATTGTAGATAACTAAAATCACTCTTGTACTGCCAGCTATATTTCCTTGTCCAGCGTCAATACTGTTTACAAGAGACCGCACAGCCTTGTATCTATACAATGTTTTGAATTGTAGCCTTTTTATTTATGTAAATGCCTTCAGCATTTATGTATACAGTAAATGGTATAACTCATTATAAACATGACCTAATCAGCTATACTTTAAAAAAAACTACATTCCCTGTATATTGGGAACTAAGAATATTTAATTAAATCATCTTTTGATATTCAGAAAATTCTAGAAAATATTTGCATATAAAAACAAAGAGGCAATTTAGGAATAACACCTAGAAAAGACCACTCAATTAAAAGTAACTATAGTTGTTGGGGCGCCTGGGTGGCGCAGTCGGTTGAGCGGCCGACTTCAGCCAGGTCACGATCTCGCGGTCCATGAGTTCGAGCCCCGCGTCGGGCTCTGGGCTGATGGCTCAGAGCCTGGAGCCTGTTTCCGATTCTGTGTCTCCCTCTCTCTCTGCCCCTCCCCCGTTCATGCTCTGTCTCTCTCTGTCCCAAAAATAAATAAACGTTGAAAAAAAAATTTTTTTTAAAATAAAATAAAATTGAAGCCTCTACATGCTTAAAAAATTTATGAAGCAAAGTCTTGCTTTACTTGATCATTTTATACCCATAATGATTGAACTGAGCAAGCAAGTGTTCCTCTATAACACTGAGGGTAAACGTGAATTTCACAATTTACATTTTTGTG